TTTTTCTCCATAACTCTGACTTTCAAATAAACAAATCTTTAAACACAAAATGTCCAGTCTACGGTTTTATGATAATTCCTTCATGTCTCAGACCGAATCTAACAATCATTTTATTTCCTTCTTTGAGAACTAATAGCATTTTACACACATGACGGTGCAAGATGCATGCACAAGAAACTGGTGTTTACTGAAAATTGCCAGCAATCTTTACAGCAGTGTGACCCATGCAATATTATGCAATGTAAAACAAGCAAGCTCCATGCCCTGGAATTCTCTTAGATGGAACTTGTACTTGAAAAACACCTGCTTTTATTTTCCCTCTTTCCTTAGTTACAATAGAATGGATGATCAGAATTCAGCTTTAGGGCCCATCGCAGTATCCTGACTGCTCCACTTCCCATCCAGCTCCCTGCTTGTGGCCTGGGAAAGCAGCTGAAGATGGCCCTAAGCCTTGGGACCCTGCACTCACATGGGAGACCTGGAAGAGTCTCCTGGCTTTTTAAAATTTATTAATTTTTATAAGGCAGATTTACAGAGAGAAGAGAGAGAAAGAGATCTACTGGCTGGTGTGCTTTCCAAAATTCCACAATAGTCAGAGCTGGGTTGGTCCAAAACCAGGAGCCAGAAGCTTCTTTTGGATCTTCCATGGTGGCACAGGGACCCAAGGACTTGTGCCACCATCCACTGCTTTCCCAGGCAATAGCAGGGAGCAGGATCAGAAGTAAAGCAGCCAAGACAGGAACTGGTCCCTGTATGGGATGCCAGCACTGCAGGTGGAGGTTCAAACTACTGTGCCTCAGCACTGCCCCTGATATTTTGATTTCTTAAAAGATGGGGGCAGTAGAAAGACAGCATTGCTTGTACCATAAAATTCAAAATTTTAAATAAAATTTTTTTAAAAAGAAAGATAGCATTGTGGCAAAATGGGTCAAGCCACTGCTTGTGATACTGGCATCCAGTACTGTAGTGTTGGTTCAAGTTCTCTGCTAATGTGCTAATGTGCAAAGCAAGGAAGTGACACAGCCCAAGTATTTGGACCCCTGCTACACACAGGGAAGATCCACCTTCTCTCTGTCACTCTGCCTTTTGAATCAATCACTTCTTTAAAGATGACAAATCAATCCTTTAAAGATGTTCAGTAGTTAAGATACTGGTTCAAACATCCATGTCCCACTTCTGAGAGCCTGAGTTTGCTACCTGGCTCCAGCCTCCCGCCGATGGCACTGGTGAGGGTTCAAGTATCTGAGTCTCTGATGAGAGATGTGGGTTGTGCTCCAGGTTCCAGACCCCACGGCATCACAACAGGATGGGGGCGTGAACTAAGGAAGCGGGGGAAAAAAAAAGATCAAATCTAGAAGAATGAGCATTCAAATTGAAATGAAGCTTCCTGTGATGGCTGATTTCATGCGTCAGCTGGACTAAGTTAGGGGTAGAGCATTCCTTCTGGGTGTGTCTGGAAGAGGTTAGTACTTGAATCTTTAGATCCGGTAAAGAAAAACTGCCCTCCCCAACGCAGGTGCGCAGCATCCCAGTCATGGGGAGCCGTGTGGGACAGAAGTGGTAGTGAATGTCCCTTGAGCGGGATATTTGTCCCCTTCTACCCTCAGGTACTGGAGTTTTTGATTCTCAGGCTGTTGGCATAAAGCTTGAGTTACCCCACCAACTCTCTCTCCTACTTCTCCAGTCTGCAGATGGAAACTGTGGGACACATCAGCTCCTGTATGACTCATAATAGCATGAATCAATTTCCATAATCAATCTCCTCACTTATATACCTGATTGGTTCTGGTTTTCTAGTGGACCCTGACTAACCCACAAACAGTTTTACTTTCCCCTCTCATCCTGTAAGATGGCATGGAGGACATGAAAAAGGAAGGAGTTCCCTTTGTTGTAACAAAGAGGTAAAACTCCTCGGCGAACTCCCAGCAACTCTCTACCACTTGCATTCACGTGAGGAAGAAACACCTCCAAATTGAGTATTTTGTAACAACTTGCCCTGTCTGAACAAAAATTGGCATCAATTGGTTAGTAATGGTGTGAGATTTTGTTCTTCTCACAAATCACCCTCAAAATGTAGTTGCTTAAAGCAGCAACCAACTACCACAGTTCTTCGTTGGCCCTTTGGGTGATCTTGCCAAGCTTGGCCTGTGTGAACCTCATCTGGGATGTTGGATTGGCTGGGCTGGCAGCTGGGTCCTCCACCTGCCTTGTCACCCATGTGGAGACTCTTAGGGTGACTAGCAGCAGTAGTCAAAGAGGCAAGCCCTTGTGAACAGAGCCTATGTGGCCTCCGGCTGCCATTGTTCTTATGTCCCATTGGCCAGGTTTAGATTAAAGGGGTGGGAAAATTTTGGGGCTCTGTCTCCTGCTGGTTAGGCACATCAAGGCCACAGGGCAAGGGGGTGCGCACCCGGGCTGAACTGACAGCCTTCTTTTGTGACATGAGAGCGGAATGCCTCCGTTACTGAAAGGGGATGGGACAGTTGAGTACAGGCCACACAACAAGCAGGAATGGGCGCAGCGTGGAGTTCCTCCATTCGGCACCACACCTTGACTGAAGCCTCAGAGAGTGACCTGTGGGCGGGTCACAGTGGGTTTTGGGGTTGTCCCCACAATCATGCCATTTGTGCCTTGCATCCCAGATCAAGTTCAGTGCAAGCCACTGAAAGGATGTGGGCAGTTTATTTCCACACATGGCCAGGGACAGACGGTGCCTGTAAGCACACATGGCACCTGAAGCTGTTTCACACAGCATTCCTCCACTGGAGTTATCATTTAAATCTCTCCCAGTTTTCATCCTAGCTCACTTACTTCTCCTGCCAGGCTGAGACCAGAGCCATTTGCCTGTGTAGTTTAGATCCTGCCTGCTACAAAGACTTCAGGCAATTTCCAAATTTCTTTTTCCCATTCCTTTGGGCACGAAGGAAACACATTCCTCCCTGAGTCTGACTTTTCAGTCCAAGCAAAGAATGCAGTCTGCTGTTTCTACCCTCCCTCTCTATAATTCCAACTTTCAAGACAAAAAAAAAATAAATTTTTCCCCATCCCCAACGCATTCTTGATAGATTAAGAAACCCCTAACCAGACTAAGTCAGAGTTGTTCAGCTTTTTTCATTTTAAAACTTTTATCTATTTCTCTTAAGAGACAGAGACAAATGTTCCCCCTACTGGTTCACTTCAAATGTTCACAGTATTCAGGGCTGGGTCGGGCCAAAGCCAGGAACCAGGCAGTCACTTCAGGTCTCCCAGGGGTGGTAGGAGCGCAACCACAAAAGCAGTGTTACCTGCTGCCTCCTGAGGAGTGCGTGAGCAGGAAGCTGGACTCTGGAGAGGAACCAGGCCTCGACTGCAGCTAGTCTGACACAGGATGTGGGCATCCTAGCTAAGGGTTTAACCACTGCACCAAATACCCATCCTTCTTCTTTGGGTCTGACAGTTTTTATTTTTTAGTTTCTATGCTTACTGACTCTAACTGAATATGTTTTCAAAATTTGGCCATAATTGTGACATGCTGTTAATAAGGAACCATATTAACTAAGTGATGACCACAGAGAGAACAAAAAAAAAAAAAATGTTCTCTGAGAAAATAGGGCATAACAAGATCTTATCACAAGCTATTTTTTTTCCCTGTCTACCTCTTCCTACTTTGATCAGAAAAGGTGCATACCAAAGCCTACTTACAGACTACTGGTATGCCCTACACAAGGGCATGACTCGGCATTGGGGTACCAGTGATTACATAGCTCCAAGTTGTCAGTTAAGAGCAGTCCCTTTAGCTTTCGCTCGCCAAAAGAGGGTTTGGGAACCAAATGGCCAGCCCTGGGATCCTGTTTTCAGCCAAATGTGAGGGAGGATGGCATAGCCATGGAGCACCTGTCCATGGATGTGCATTGGTGAACTTGGAGTAGACCACAGGCTGGTGTTAAGGGTTTGGGGATTACTGACCTCTGGTTTGTTTTTCTCAGTACCACTAAGAATTGTTTATTTCTCCTTTTGAGAAGTTTTGGATAACAAAAATGATTGCTTCTCGGCCTTTTGGCTAAGATTAGGTGTGGCTAACAAAAATGAAATGAAATGAAACGAAATGAAATGAAATAAAGGAAGAAAAAAATAGGAGAGACAAGTTCCCGGTGGCTTGTGGTACTTCCTGCCCACCCCCTCCCCACTCTCTGCTGCTGTCCACTCTGCAGGTTTTTGAGCACACAATTACTTGTCGCTGGTGGCCAGGTTTTCTGGAATTTGAGTGAAACCCTAAACCCTGTATGAGACTTGGTGTCATCTTTGTTACTGGGTGCAGATAGCTCTGTGGAACTGATCCAAGCAATGAAAGGGTGATTGAAAGGAAGAAATGTGGTGAGGGATGGGAGGGTGGCACCAAGGGTGCAGTATCAAGGTGCTAGGCCTGCACCCATGTTTCGCAGTGTGTTCTTCCTTCACCTCTACACAGGCCAGCTCTTCATCCCTCTCCTTACTTCTGCTATGAACTAGTCACAATTTCCTTTCACTTTTGCCCATCATACCTTCTTCAGTAGATTCAAATCCAATTCCTCTACTCAGTTTTGTTGCTCTGATAAACACTGAGAAAGAAGCAGTCGTCTTTAAGAGATGAGCACTATTTCTAAGCTGGTATCGTATTCAGGTATTTCATTTGCATTTTAATTCAAGCAGCTATGCTAGGAAATCTCTGAATGAGATATCTAACTTTTTCATGTCCTTTCGTAAAAGTTTGCCCACAAGGAGCCCAAACTGAGTCACTTTGAACACTGGTAGGGGCAGCTATGGCTGTCAGGCCATGCCCTCTGCTTTCCGATCTTTGGGGGTGCCCATCTCTCACTGGAGGAGGAGAGGGAGAAAAGTAGCAGTGATAGTTGATTTTTTAGCTTGTGGTTTGAGCTTGGACAAACCTTGAGACATCAGATTCTGACTCAGAAGCAATATGACAGAAACGCCAGTGGACAGGTGGCTGAAGGCACTGCAAAGTCAGCTGGTGTTGGCAGCGTATCCCTCTGCCAATACATGACTGCAGATAACTTGTTAATCTGACCCATGTCCATCTTGAGTAAAATCTGTATATGAGTAAGAAGAGGTTTACAAAGTGCCTGTTTAAAGGTTCTCCACATATCTCCATGTAAGATTTTACAACTTTCTGAGATAGGCAGGGATCATCACACCTCTTTTATAAGACAGAACAAACTAAAGCTCAAAACAATGCAGGAGCCTTGTTCAAGCCTACTTTCATGCTTGGAAACTTACTGTAACTTTTAAAATCTGATCTTTCCATTTCATGAATCCCAACCTCTTCCATCAAAGATTCGAGTGGATATATTTTTAGCTAGAGCCTACATGCAAATGGTTTTAGCCAAAGTAAATGTCACTTAGAGAAAATCTGGCATCTTTCTAGAAGTATCCTCAGTTAAAGTTACCGGATAGTTTCAACTGAAACATCATCTATTTGACAAATAATACATCATGGGTGTGGGGATCCTGCTTACAATTATCCAGATTATACTTCATATTTCCTTTTTTTAAAGATTCAATTAGTTTTCATTGGAAAGGCAGACTTATAGAGAGAAGGAAAGACATAAAGAAAGAATTTCCATCCACTGGCTCACTCCCTCAAGTGGCTACAATAGTCAGAACTGAGCCAATCTGAGGCCAGAAGCCAGGAGCTTCTTTTGGGTCTCCCATGCAGATGCAGGGTTCCAATGCATTGCACCATCCTCCTCTGCTTTCCTATGCCACAAGCAGGGAGCTGAATGGGAAGTGGGGAAGCTGGAAATAAACCATGCTCATATGGGATCTTGGCAAGCAGAGGATTAGCTAGTTAAGCCATCACACCAGGCATGTACTTCATATTTCTTTTTGTCTAGAACAAAATATTTACTTCAAAACAAGTAAAAGATGTATTTTAAAAGAAATCACAGAATGCATCTCTTTAATGCCTTATTATTATGAGATATATAATACAGAAAAGTATCTAAACATATGAGTAGTGTAGCAACATATACAACTGCTCACTGAATCAATAAAGGATAGAAGCACCAAAGAAGCAGTCTTGCCAGTACAGCATCCTTCATTATCAACCCAGTGCTCAACACAAAGTATCCATGAGCCTGATTTTTTTCCAAAGTTGAATTAGGCACAATCATGGAAAATGAACATGGAATTGCAGCAGATTTGAACTGGCAAGTTATTTGATTCAGCTAACTTGTTTCCACAAGTCAAGGAGAGTGAACCTATGAGAGGAATTGAGGTCAGCATTATTATGACTGATATTATTATTGTTACCATTTCTAATATGATAGGGCATCATTCAGACCTGAATAACCATGTTAAATGGAACTGCCATAAGTAAGCCAAAGTGAAACCATTTGGAACAAAAAGAAAAAGTATTCTCTCCGTATTGGAGCATTTAGTGAATTAGACAGGAGGAATAGAAAACTGCAAATCACATTCACACACCTGGAGGTAGACCCTCAAAGCCGATGTGCTACTCTCTAGTGTCGGACACCAGGCTACTACCCTGAGCTCATAGTGGGAGAAGGCTGTTCAGGCTCCAGCTGTAGCCAGAGTGAAAGCAGAAGCAGAACAGCCCTTGCTCATGACACATCTTTCTTGTAAGTTCTGCAGGGAGAGGCAAGAGTGGCACAGGGCACAGACACGTTTGGTAAGTCGGAGAATCTTTGGACAGGGTAAAGTATAATACGTAGATTACAGGGAAAAATAGGGTTCAGACAGCAAGCAGGGGATACCTGGAGACCCCCTGGACACAGGGAAGTTGCAGTCATGGGTCAGCAGTGTTGCAGTGGACAGAAAAACCCACCAATAGTTGGCGAGTGGCAACTCAGACACCGGTGATCCGCTCTGGTGATCCAGGCTCTGGTGATCCGTTTCCAGTGCCAGCCAGACCTCCAGCAGTGGCCTCTACACAGCGCTTGTGACCGCCAGGTGGGAGCCTGAGTCTGCATGGGGAGCTAGGGAGGCGAGTACAGTCTGGAACCTGACAATCAAACTGGGTGACTGGGACCAGCCGCAGGCTGAGAAAGAGTAGGAGACTCAGGATGCCATCTTGTGTGGAGAGGTGGAACGCGGAGTTGACGGAGCGGCACAGAGGAGGCTCCCTCCAGTTTGACAGAGAAGAGGACTAGCGCCCACCAAAACCAAAGGCAAATGGGAAGAACATCCCAGTAAAATGACAACAAAAGACTAAATCAATGAACAACCCATTCCTAAAATGACAGGACCAAATTACCACCATTTGCATTAACCCAGAATGTAAATGGCTTAAGCAACTCAATCAAACAACATAGATTATCAAACTGGATTAAAAAACAAAATCCACCTATTTGTTACCTACAGGGACATATCTCATCAACAGAAATCAGTGGAAACTATGCCTCATGGATTTTGATTTTTGTTGTTAGTTTCATCTCTTTAAAACACTTTCTTCTGATTAAATTCTTCGATGACTTATAGACCATACAGTAGCATCATTTTCTTCAAGAAGGTTCTTGATTTTCGTTTCTTCAGCAACACATTCAGTAGCATGTTATTTAACTTCATGGTGCTGTTAATTTCTTTTTTCTCCCTGATGTTGATTATGTTTTGTGGCTTTTCATTTAAGGGGATGCATAGTAACTGTGTAATGGAGATTATCATATCTAGCAGCATGTTATTTAATTTCATGGTATTGTTAATTTCTATTTTTCTTCGTATTGATTTTGTATTGTGGCTTTTCACTTAAGGGGATATATAGCAACTGTATAATGGAGACTATCATATCTAGATGTGAGGATATAATGCAGTATGCATCTCTACTTCCAGATCAAAGATGGACTTGCGATGAAACTGCTTACTGTATCTTGACAATATGATGATGGACTGCCTGCCATTGTCCATGCCCACGATGGACATATGAGTGTGTACGAAGAACTATACTATAGTAATTACATAGGGGAACTCAGTGAGGTGGGAGGGAGTTGGGAAGGGGATGAGGTAAAACCCACTATCTATGGAACTGTATCATAAAATGATAATAAAAATAAGAAAAAAAAAGGTTTTACTTATTTTATTTATTTATCATGGATGGCAGAAAAAGAGAGCTCTCCTATCTGCTGGTTCACTCCTGCTGAGGTTGAGCTGGGTCAAATTCAAGAGCCCAGAAATCCACCTGGGTCTTCCATGTGGGCAGCAGAGCCCAAGTTACTTGAGGCATCACCTGCTGCTTCCTATAGTGAGAGCATTAGCAGGAAGCTGGAATCTGAATCCAAGCTGGGACTCAAAAGCAGTTTCTCAGATACAGGATGTAGGCATTATACCCACTATACCAAACAGGTGTCTCCACCATGCTCCTCCTCCTCTTTCTTTTCAAGATTTATTTATTCATGACTTGAAAGGTCAATTTACAGAGAGGAGAGACAGAGACTGATCTTCTATCCACGGTTCACTCCTCAACCGGCAGCCACTGCAGGAACTGAGCCGATCCGAAGCCAGGAGTCTCCATCAGGCCTCAAACCGGGATACAGGGGCTCAAGGACTTTGCTGCTTTCCCAGGCCACAAGCAGGGAGCTGACTAGGAAGTGAACCAGTCGGGACCTTAACTGTTGAGCCACTGTACCAGTCCACAACACTCTTTAAAAATAATTTTTTATTATTATTATTTTCCATGATACAGTTTTGTAGGTGAAGGGATGCCTCCGTTCTTCTATCTATCTTCCCTCCCCATTTTCCTCTCTCATCATTTCCCCCCATATTACCATAGTGGTGTAGTCATTTAGTAACAGTTACAAGTTTAACTTTTTTTTTAAGATTTATTTATTTATTGGAAAGTCAGATATACAGAGAGGAGGAGAGCAGAGAAGAAGATCTTCCGTCCGATGATTCACTCCCCAAGTGAGTGCAACGGCCGATGCTATGCCAATCTGAAGCCAGGATACAGGAACTTCTTCCAGGTCTCCCACATGGGTGCAGGGTCCCAAGGCTTTGGGTCGTCCTCGACTACTTTCCCAGGCCACAAGCAGGGAGCTGGATGGGAAGTAGAGCTGCCGGGATTAGAACCGGCGCCCATATGGGATCCTGGCACATTCAAGGCGAGGACTTTAGCCACGCTGCCAGGCCCTAACTTTTAATTATTTAAGTGTTTCATGGGATTGTAGACACAGGCAAAAGTAGAACATATATCTTCATAACACACTTTTTTTTATAAGCACATTTACTGGAATAAAAGCCTCAAAGTAGATGTCCTCTTCCTAAAATTTAGAATCAAAGGGACCCAAGAAAGTACTTGTTGGTCTTCCTTCTGCCTTGCCTCAAGGACAGATAACTAGGACAATATAGAAGCTCTGGAAGGCAGGAAAGCTAAAGAGCTCTACTTAGGGACACCATTCACCGGCAAAACCATTAGCAGACTAAGAAGCCACAGTGGGCTGCAGCCTCTGCACTTGCCCCTGTGTATTTCACAGGGAGCCTCCTCCTGCCACCCTGAGGCTGCCCTGCTGCTCCAGGATTCAGTGAGGGACAAAAGCTTTTGTCACAAAGCCTAACGGACAGGGCTGAAGTAGAAGAAAGAGAAATGCCTTCTGGGAAGAAAGGTTAAACAACTCCAGGCACCGCTCAATAGCTCAGTGGCCAATTCCTCACCTCCAAGCACCTTCATCCCACAGGAGTGCCAGTTCTTGCTCTGACTGTGTCACCTCCCACCCAGGTGGCTGTTCGTGATTTAGGAAACTCGAAGGAGAATGGCCCAATACCTTGAGACCCTACACCTGCAAGAGACCCAGAAGGAGCTCCTGGCTCCTGGCTTTAGATCGTCTCTGACCGTTGTAGCCAATTGGGGAATGAATTAGTGGATAGAAGATCTTTGTGTCTTTTTCTGTCCGTAAATCTGCCTTTCCAGGAAAAATAAATAATTTTTAAAGAACTTGCCCTTTTCTCAAACTCTTTGTTGGGGAAATGTTGCTGGTGTATGGAGTTCCCAAAGTGTTCTAAAGCTTTTTTTGTTATTGTTTTAAGCATACAGCTCTGTGGCGTTCAGTTCACCCGCAGTCGGGCCCACATTCCCACCTCCTC